CATGTTTCATTGATAATTCTAAAACATGTCAATTGAGTCTGGCTTTGCCAATGCCTTTAAAGATTTTGAATACTTGAATCGGATCCCCTTATAATCTTCATAAAAAGAAGCAGTTATTTTAGCCTGTCAGTCTAAAACATACCATTAAGCCTGGGAATGTATCTGGTTGGTTTTCTCATGAGTTAATTCCAGAGCAGCTCTTTTTCGTATCATAATTTATACAAAAATTTTACACAGTATTTTAAATAAGGCATTACTGGTGCACTATCCAATTATACAATTTTAATGTAACATGGAACACAATTTAAATTCTGCACTTTTTACTATGTATCCTAACATGGTTCTTTTTTAGCTTTTTTAGCTAGTGTCTATAAGATACCTGCGTAAAGACCTAAGTCTCTAAGAAGTATTCTCTTCAAGTTTGAGAGTTCAGATATTACAGAATATTCATCGTTTATGTTACCTAGATCCTGTACTTACAGTATCTATATTGAAGGTCATCTACTAGATGATTACCAAGTCTTGAATTTTGTCTAAATGTTTCTGAATTTCTTCTGCATCTTGTACAGTACTTTCTAATCGTACTTATTTGGTATCATCTATAAAATGTATTCAATTCCTAACTATACCGGAATCTAGATCATTCACAATAAATCAGGAAAAGCAGTGGTTCTAATAGAGATCTTTCCAGTACCCCAATAATTATATTAGCCCAATAGCATTCACCCCTTATTTGTATACTGTTTCTTGTCATTCACTAAATTTTAATCCAAACACATGCAGTTCATTTAATGTCTTCTGCTAATAATTATAGAATTAATCATTTATGAGAAGCATTATCAAAGCCTTTTGAAACTCTCAATATATCATATCATATACTCTGTTTGTATCCATTACTGCTGTTTAAAAGATTATACTTCCCTAAAAGTGCTTGAAATGTATTTTTGGATTTGTTGGAGCAGACTAGAATAAAGTGCTCTCACAGGATAACAGAGCAACTGTTAAACCTGCATTTCATCCTCACCCAAAACATTCAATATGCACACAATAAGATAAGTCCTGGCTAAGGACAGATGCATATATATTACATCAAAGTTAACAGTAAAGAAAAGTAAAGAACATGTGAGTACTTATGTGAGTAACCCAGGATGAACTATTTTACCTTCATCTTGCTTCAAGTGTGATAACACATCATATATTGATCAAATTTTACCTCTTGGTATCTTCACTTTTTCCCTCACACGTTATTAGCTCTGCTTCAACTTAGTTGTCTTTGAACACTATCTAGTCATTTACTGAAACGTTGTCTACGTCTTTGGAGTAATAGGATGAAAACTATTTTTAAAACTATGAAATAGAGTTCCTCAAGCCTTGTTCTGCTTTAATGGAGGAACAAATATGGCTTTAGTGTAGCATAAAGTATAAGAAAGGTAGAAGAATGCCAATTACAAACCCTATGAATTACTATAACTTCATCGTCTGCTTTTTGAAATCACATAAAAGGCTCAGGGAGAAAGATTTCTAACTGTGCTTTGGTTTTGCTTGGAAGCAGTTTAACAGGTGCAGAAAGTAATGACTCAGGTTGCGGCCTTGTAAACCAAATGAACCATCAGACATTATACTGTAGCTTGAACTCCAGTTAAGAATAACACCACAGTCCTTCATGCCTACCCAGAGCTAATTGTGCTTATTGTTCAAAACGCAACCTCGCGTTGTGCTCCATCATTGCTTGTCCTTTTGGAACAGGTGCTCCATGTGTATCAAACGTCAAAAGGTCACTGACAGCTGGTAAGCTGCACTCCCTGGCTTAGGGCAATCGCAGTGAGCCAACACTGTTTTCAAATCAGGAGAATAATCCAACAGGGAATATTTACTGGTGTGGCGAGGAGAGAAACAGCTCTCACTCATGAGCTGTTAAAAGTGACTGAGTGCAAAGACCATCTAGGGAGTGAGTGAGAGTGGGGTTTATGTTAAGACTCTGTAGTTCCCAGGCTTCACCTCCTTGCAGTATCTGTGCTATACTTCAGAGTAGCAATAGGGAATAACAGTAACAAAAACTAGGGTAACTACTGTCAAGCAGAGGAAGCTCACCAACTTTTAACCTGTCACTAGGTGGTACAGTATATGGTACTGGGCGAGTTTATTTATATTCCAGCCATATTTACCTTTACCTACCTAATTAAATTTCTACATAATTTTGTCCCGATTCCACCATCTTTATACATTTCTTACAAAGTGCTAGGTTTTGGTTCCACCTGATACGCAAGGCCAACACCTGCTTCTTTTCCTCCATATGAGCTGCACAAAGGAACCTGACATGTTTCACCATAATTGAAATCCAGACTATGGTTTTTGTCCACCTAAAATATTGCCTATAGGGTTCACAATATCTGTTCCATGAACCACATCATAGTTTTTTTGGACTTCTGTCCACAAATTAAAGCACTCAGACAATGACTCATAAGGCATTTTATTGTTTGACTAAGCTGAATGGTTTTCAGATTGATATGATGGTTGGGTGGCAATGACTTCTTCCAGTCTCTCCACGCTTTTGCTGTTTCTGAGTCAGGCGATGTGTATGCATTTTTTTGGCTTAGGTTCATCTCCTTCTCATGACTACTCATCCAGAACCCAGTGGAGTCACTGCTGTATCCTGTTGCATCTACTAACTGTAAGTCATGTGCACAGACCCACAGCTGATACAGTACATTACAAGATGAGGCAGCTCCCAGGAAACTGCTGTTGTTCTTATTTTCACATATTGCCTGTGGCATGGGTTGTAAACCTACATGAACTGCTCTATATCTGTAACAGTGATGATGAAGATGAGTATGATGTAATTACATCTTCAGCAAGAAGGCCCTTCTGCTTAGACTCCTGTCTAGTACATTCAGCAAAGGTTGTGCTGTGTCTACTTCATTAACCTCCATTACTTTTTAGCCAGGAACATTCAAATGAGTTGCATTGTGAATTAGAAGGCCGTGTTGATGGATCAAAAGCTTTGTAAAGCGAATTCAATTCTTAAAATGAGGCAGAAGATGTCAACTGTTTGCCAGGCAATCATCTTTCCCCATGGAGTATTTGGCTGCTCCCCAGGTGCAAGCCATCCAAGGATGTTCAGGCTTGTTTAAGGTTAATTTGTTAACCCCGTCTCATTGACAAACTCGTTTATAGTTGTATTTTGTACAGCACAATAACTGGAAATGCAACAATAGTTAATGCTGCTGTTGAGCGTGATCAGATTGCTCAGATGGGCTCCCATCACGTATCTGCTGGTAAACCACGTTCATTAGAGTGAACAATGAAAAGGGCAGCAGGACAATGGCAGGGGACATGATCATTCAGACAATTAAGATGACATCCGACGCTAAGCGTGGTGGTTTCCTGACGGCAGAAAGCTTTGCCTGCTCTCATGCTCCACTGAAACAGAGACAATCGGCAGCTCCACAGGATAGAAGCCCGCTGGCCTGTCACGGCCAATTACTGTACCTCTCGCAGCCTCATCGCCCATATCGTGAATGTCCGCTTTCATGGGAAAACTTAGTTCTGCCTGCCGCGGCGATCGAGCTGTTGCAAGGATTGGTACTGTTTTTAGTTTTTACTTTACAGCGCTTTCATTTTGTCAGCCGTTCAGCGATGTCTGCTGTGCCGCGTTGCTTCGGCTAATGTTGCAAGACGTGTGCAGGGATAATGAGGAAAACTTAGGGGAGCTTATGATTAATTTACCTTACAAGTTAGGCTTTTCGATGGTCTCTATTTTCTGGTACGCAAAAAAAATGTTTTTATTTACCTTCGAAATAAAATGCATGAAAGAAAAACATAATTTGTATGCAAACGGGAAAAGTTATTTTTAAGGTCGCGTTAGCAAAACGGAATCACGTTATTAACTATATCAAAAAGTCTGCAAATCTGCTGTTACTTTTCAACATATATTTGAGCGTTTCTATAACCTAAATAATGAAATATGTTATCCTCTTTGTCTTTTGTAAGTTCGTTAACAGATAAAACAGCTTCGAGAATTTAAGACCTTTTACAGCAGTTTTACTTCGCCTACATCATATAAAAAGTTTAGAATTACCCTTGCCCTTTAACCCAGTTTTGAGATAATGTATCACTTCATTCCACCTGTAAAATACAAAGTTGCGAGCAAAGATTACTTACACTAGCGCCCTCTTCAGGCACGGGTTGATAACACAATGTTACTGCAACTCACTACTAAAAGCATCAACAGAAATAAACTATTGCAGCCTGAATCCCACTTAACAATACGTTTGAAAAAGTACTTGCAAAGTGCATTTTTTAACAGCAATTTGTTTACTGCACTCAGTTATCAAATGTTCATGTTTCTGCGTGGCTGAACATTATGCGCGTCTGGGCTAGCTGATGAAAAGGCAGAGTAACAACTTCAAGTTAGATGTTTTTGCCTTAAGCAAACAATCATTTCTAGCATTGATGCTGTTAAGTCAACGCGTTCACTTAGCTACGCTCGACCTAAGAAGCAAAATGACTCATATCAAAATGTGGTTTATGTTCAAAATATTTTCTATATTACAGCCTATTCTAAAAAAAAAGCGCAATTCATGTCAGTAGCAAAACGGTTATGAGGAAAATACTCTTAAAAACTAGTCGTTTAAATTATATGGTGGACCTTCTGAAAGATTAAATATATTTGTCGTTTAAATATTTATGAATGCAGACTGCCACGACTTTTACTGGGAATAAGCGGCTTTTTGTAACGGCTGACCGAACAGATGAATGCAGACAATTGCCATTTCTTAAATTAATGAACATATTAAAGTATTTGTAGATTTTCCCCCATAACAGTCCACAAAGGGATATAGTCATCATTACTATATTTGGGGTGGAATTCATTGGTTATCTCTGACACCGTCGCTTGCGTTACCTTGGAATGTGCACTGCTCAGTGTATACAACATGTGTCCCTTTAAAAAAAAAAATCTCGGTGCACCGGGGGGAAAAAAGCAGAACTTTCTGACTCACCGCCAACAAACTGCATTCCGCCCGCCACCCTGCCAATTGTCCTGGAAATAAGCTCCGTCACGCAGCATCCCATAAGCGCTGTGAGTGCCACCAACAGGAGTAGCCCGCAGCCCACTCCAGTCACCACGGTGCAAATCTTCCACTCCAGGCTGGGAATACCCTGGAAGGAGGCATACCTTCCACATTGCTCCACCATTACTGTCATCTGCCGGGTCTCGTCCCGGACAGGATAGGAACATCTGCGGAAAGTGCCGAACGACACAGGCTTGTCCATCTGGGAACCCAATAGCCAGTAAGGCATGAAAAAGCCAACGCAAGATGCGGCCGCGCATAAAAAGGATAGTATTGCCCATATAATCCCGGTGCAGGTCAGACTGGATGCCATATTCGTTGATTAGTTCAAAGTACAGTTAGGCTTTTGACAGGTGCTATTATATTCCCCTTTCCCTCTGTTTCCAGCAAGTCGGGACTTTTACATTTGTATCCAGAAAGCTACAATGACAGCCGTTCTCTTTTGTTGGATGTCCGATATGCCCTGAAAAAGAAGGCACCGTTGTTATTTGCAAGGCTTTGCTGTCATTGAGCGCAGGTAACTTTTTGTACAGACAGTATAGTAATCTGAAAGGCAACTGAGAAACCTGAGAATCTGTAATAGGAAGATATGATTACAAATAAACTGATTAGGATAAAACAGCGAATTTATTACATTGTTTCAGATACGTATGCAATACACAGTTTTCATTTTTGGGAAATGACAAAAGTGACAAGTAGCTTCATTACGAAGTTTGGATACCCATTGACAGTTTGGTCACCTCTGATTATGTATCTTAAACGTTCTCTATTCCTTTTGCTAAATACAAATCGCGCAAAAGTACGCGTACTAAGGTAAATGGTCACTAAAATCCTAAACATGTTTTAAATGAAAATCTTATCAGATGGAGGCACTGATATCAAATATAAGTTTTATTTACTATTGAGTAATGTTAATTTTACAGAACATACATCGACATGATTTTTTCTCCACAACACAGCCGAAGTTAATAGTTTAGCTCCAAAAAGCCAATAGTTTACAATAATTAACCTGATTACTGATTTTCTCATTGCTAAAGAAAATGTAGAAAATGCGCAATCGACTCATAAGGAGCTTAAAGCTACTGTACATGGTATTTTGATGCAACCTTGCATGTGTAGAAGAACTTGGGCTAAGTCTTCTTAAGTATTGAAGACTTGAAAGTACGAACAATTACTGAACCGTACTTACATGTTCAGTTGATAACAGCAGTGAAGTAGTCCTTTAGTTAAGTTTCTTTCACAGTAAAACCTGCATAGTGGAAAAAAGGCAAAAAAAATCACAAAACTAGTGTGGTTTCAAAGAAATGCCAGCCGCACAAGAGCGCTTGTGGAATTAAGCTTTTTTAGTACTTTCCCCTCTCCTTCCAGTACGCGATGAGTACAGCTCAGACTCGCAGTCTGCGACTAAATTGCAAATATAATTAGTCCAGGGCAGACAGCGAACGTGGAGAGAAACCCCTCCTTTCAGCGACAGCCCACCGGAGAAAACGCCGTAAAACATTCCTCGAGATGGGGACTGAGGGAGTGGGAAGGCTGGTGGAGTATGTCTGTGCCACACTCACTAGGGGACCATCAATCAGGAAGTTTCTCCGCCCAGGGGCTGGCTTCACCAGCTCTACAGAACTAGTCAGCCCATAAAGCGCCCACAGCGGCTCTCCAAAATACGAGTGTACTGTAGTAGGTTCAGAGGCACGATTGACCGAGGTAACATCTTGGTCAAAAATCAAGATTTGCATTTTTTTGCCTTGTAAAAAAAAAATAAACGGAAAGAAATGAAGTTAATAAAACAAAAGCAAAAAAAAAAAAAAAACGGTTTCCAACCTGGAAAAAAAGTGAATTCCTAAAAAAAAGGCCAAAACCAACCCGAAAAAAGGAAAAGGGAAAAAAACAACAATGGAACAAACAAAAAAAAAAATAAAAATAAAAGCAGCCAAATAAATTCTTAAACTAAAAAGTAAGGCTATAAGAGTTCTTTTTTTGGCAAATCGATATTAAAATCTTTCTCTCTCACAGTTCCTGCTCTAACAAAATGAACCCGCGATGGAAATTATCGTGTGATATACGACCCTGGCGTGCCCGTAAAAACACAGTAATCAACCAAAAAGATAAGTAGGTCACTAGGTTAGAGAATTTAATACATTGGTGATGACAAAATCTGTGAGAGGTGAGCTTATCATCAGCTTCTATGATGCAGCTTTAACATTTTGGTTAATAAGGTTTATGTAAATTTTCTATGGCTTATGTATATTCTCAGCAGGCGGGTTTTTACATTACGAACTTAAAAATATGAATCAATGTATTCTGTTTTTAGAAAAAATAAATTAGATGAAATTGTGATATTGCTTACTTGTTTTGGCGTCATTTTGATTAGTTGATTATTCATGACAGACTATAATACACTCCAGTGATTAGTTGCATAATCATGAAATCGCCCCATTAGTGAATAGATGGAATAGATATAGCTGATGAGGGGAATTAAACTGACTTGGTCATTTTTGCCAATAATAACTTGGAGAATTTGTCGTGGTTGTATTTGATACGTGTTTTGACAGTATAAACTTGTATACACACTTGCAGGTCCATTTAGAGTGAATTTATAAATAACGTTCAGCTATAGACTTACAATCTTTACTTCTAAAGACAATCCAAATTGACTTTGAAGAAAAGGTAGGAAAACACAGGAATTGTAAAAAGTTCCTGAAGTGTGTGCAACCTCATCACCATTTATTTGTTGTAGTTTTTGATTTCCTTACAGAGACCCTCACAAAAATGGCAGATGATTCAAATAACATTTATAAATCCTGCAGGATGTGGAAAATAGAATATGAATTTCTGAAAGAATACAGAGCGTCCTCTAAAATTAATCTGTTTTGTTTGTCACAATCCCTTCAGTGCTTCTGATTCTGAATTTGTGTGTGTTAGAGAGTTGATGTTCAAGCTTCCAAACAATCTAAGAAATAAATGCATTGAAATCACCAAAATGAGAAGAGATTTTAATTAGAATTAATAGCTTTAAAAATGGACAACTAACAACCTTTATTTACTATCCCAGCTTCCTAATGAGTAATGACTCCAGTGTTGTTCAATTGAATTATTATCCAAGTCTTAATTGTAAATCATACATGTCAAGCTGTTTGCCAAATTGTTTCAAAGTGGGCTATTCTCAATTAGCACAAAAACTCTCCAAGATAAAGGCTCTGAGAAATGAGCACCAGGCTTATCAACCTGCAAGATAATGGCATGGATATGCATCTGAACTGGAAAGCAAGTGTGGCAATTTAATTAACCACCAGAAGCTGTGAGCGACTTTGTCTCTACCAAAGTAAAAATAAAAAATCTTCTCCTTCTGGAGAGGTGGCTGAAGCGTTAATTGCTGTTTAACCAACAAAACCAAGTGTCTTATATATCCACTCACATATGAGCAAAATTTGTGCTATTTTATAAATATATAGTTAAACTATTTGGTTCTTCTCCCCCTTAATGTTATTCTCCATAAATTCAGATTCCTAATTAACCCAGCCTCTCTGTCCTTCATATAAATGTAGTGGATCGGCTGCTGAGGATGTTAAACACACCTGAGAAGCTATTGACTGAAAAACACATTTAGTCAAGCAGTTGTGGAGTAGGAATGTACGAGAAACTTCACATGTATTTATTTACTGTAAAACCTCTCTCACACAGAAATGATAGTTTTGATATAGATGCCTGAGATAAGGGCAGTTAATATGTAATGGGAATATATGATGCCATCTGTTATGGTCAAAGACTAGGAAACATCAAAATCGCAAATCAGCAAGGCTAATTTAAATGAAGAACAGATATCTAAGCCTGCTTGCTGTTGTCCTTTCATTACTTTCTCAAAAGTGTCCTAGGCACTGAGACATCTCACTTACGCCCTGGGAGAAGCGAATGCTGTTCATTTCAGTGAACTTATTCCTCTGCAAACATCCATCCATTAGCAGGAATCTGCTTATCTTGCCGAGGGTTGCAACAAGTCTGAACTTATACTAAAGGCATAGGGTGCAAGGCAGCACTGAGCACAGAACCGATCTTCAGCCAGACAGCACATCAGTCCATCCATTGGGTAAAAGAGAAAGGAACACATTAGAATAGCTAACACATTTCAAACCGACTTCGGAGGTTGAGGGTTAGGGTTAGCCAAAACCGAATCATCTGGCCAAAACTTGCAAGAAATCAATGATAACATGCAAGCTTCATACAGACGGACATCCAAGGCCAAAATAAAACCTAATTGTGGCTCAACATTGTTAATATCCTTGTTAAAGAGTCTAATTGTTGTTGCTACTTGTTAATTAAATATTGTGTTTGTGTTCAATATCATTATGTCCTACAATGTTCCTTTCTATACACAGCGCAGCAGTGACAGGAGATCCTACTGACAATGTATTTTTCTTGAGCACTGGACCACCTACAGTACTCCCCTTTCTTAACATGTGACAAATGAGGACAGGCAAAAGACAAAGCACACAAAAGCGTACTTTAAAGTGAACACGGGCAATTTTCATTCCCCGAGGGCACAGAATAGTAGTTTCTCTTTGCTTTTTGTAACAGTGTAGTCAGATCTTTTTCTACATGAGATTAGCTCTGGCAGCAAACCTGATACTTATGTTTGGCATCTAAGAATGTGGACTGCATAGCTTGTCTCATCTTAAATGTATTAGTTCCAGTTTATGTTTTTTTTCTTCGTAATTCAATGAATGATTTATTGGCAGTCCTGAGGTCAGAAGCTTAGATTCTCGAGCTGGTGCATCCAGGACCCAGAATGACTATATCTCACTCATTATGGCTCATCTTTCTTCCAAGTGTTGGTTTCATAGGAAAAGCTTTCTGGGGCCTCAAAGCATAGACTTTTAATAATTCCTTAATGTATACGGTGGCATGACAGCACAGCTGTTTGCATGCTGCCTTGCGGTGCTGGGCCTCTGGGTTAAATCCTGGACCTGAGGGTGCTATTTGTGTGGAGTTCGTATGTTCCCCTTGTGTTCATGTGGGTTTCCTCTGGTGCTCTGGTTTGCTCCCACAGCATAAAATCTATTGATAGGTTAATCGGTTTCTTGGAAGATTTGCCCTGGTGTGATAGTGTGTGTGTTGTCTGCCCTGTGATGGACTCGATTCCTGTCCAGGGTGTATTCTGCTTTGCTCCATTTCTGAGATGGGCTCCAGCCCCCCTGCAACCCTGAATTGGACGAAGCAGTTAGAAATGAATGGATACAGATGCATATGTTTTGAAAATTCAGGATGCTCTGAAACTGATCGTTTATTGTTCTAAAAACATTGATGTTTTTAAATCACCATTTTTAGAGAGCATATTTTTAGTGAAAGTGTATGGGCTAAGGAAGTATAAGAGTGTTGCTTTGGTGCCGCATTTCAGGGTATTTTCCTTTCCCATCATAACATTTGAAATTTAAAGGGACAATTGGAGGATTTTTTTTATGCTTGAATAGTTAATTGTCACATATAATGGTGCTGCTATTCAGAAAGGTTACCAAGCTACTGCACTACTAAAGACATACGTTTCTCACACTTCTGCCTGGGAAAGCAACTTGCAACTTGACTTAGAGGACATGTATCACACAAAGCAGAAAACCCTAAGCACATCCAGTGACAAAACAAATGACTAAGAACACACAATAAAGATACTATAAGCAAAAAGAAAGGAAAGCAGGGGCATAGTGATAGTATTAAGCACAATCAATATTCTGCAGTGGAACAGTATTATTTTCTGAATGAAAAATGGAAAAGAATTAAAGTTTTAAGAAAGAGGGACAGAGAAAAACAACTTCCTTACAGTTGATTTTCAGATATGTCTCTTTGGAACCTGTAATCAGGGTCACATACCAGCACAGTTGTCTCACTTCCTGTTCAAGGAGATAGTCATCCTTTTGGTATTCTCAACTGTGCTTTACATAAATAAAAAATTCATGACATGCGAAGAGAAAAATGACCAGTCTTTGGGGGGATGTACTGGTCTCCTTTGACAGATGAACTGCTGACATATTCATAGAATACAGCAAGAGCCTTGAGCATTTTTGTATTAAAATATAGCAAATTCCTGTTTTTGCTACATTTACAATGTCATTTTTCAACACTAGCTCTAAAGTACTACCTGTTCCCATTTTGTTTCTGAAATCAGATAGAAATGCTTACTATGGATTTAGCAAGAGCCTACACAGTTGTTACAACAATATATTGTAGCTTTATACTGTATATGCACAAACAACAGTGGGAGTAAAAATTAACTCTCTGGTCTGAAGCAAAATTATTTACCAATTTATTAAGCAGAATTAAATAGCGTTTATCAAAATGTCATTTTTTTTTCAAGTGATACCAATTATAACTTTTTAGAAGTTGTTTTTAGAAGTGTGTTGGCAGATATCTACTTTATAGATTTGCAGACATAAGTGTCGGCAAATTATATATCCATCCATTATCAGAAAGCCACATAATCCTGTTAAAGGCTGCAGCAGATGGGAGCCTATCACAGAAACACAGGGCACACTCTGTCAGGATTGCATCCTGGATGGGACGCTTATATGCATTAGAGCGACTATTTAGAAATACCAGTTAACTTGGCCTGCAAGTCTTTGCAAGGTGGGAGGAAACTGGACCTTCTGTCTGAATCCTGCACAGACAAGGGAGGAACTACATATAGAAGACATCCCAGCTCAGAACTGAACCAAAGACAAAAGAACTATAATACAATATGATACAATATGTGCCGTGTACTATATAGGAAAATATTACAGCACCCGAAAACCACAAAGGAGAAATGTGGGGACAGATTGGGGACTTGGGCTTCTCTGCTTTGTGGACTATTAGCCAAGACGGCTTTAGGTTTCTTGTCTCGGGTCCTGGTTTTGCTGGAGCTGGGAGGCCTTTCCAGTAAGTACAAGAGGCCCCATGCCATTCTTGGCACCACAACCCTAGGAAGTTGTAAAAAAGTCCTTTTCCTGTGTTCAGGGAGTAAGGGACATTCTGTTGGTATACCTGTTGTGCTGTATTTCCCCTGTGCTGTACTTTTGCAACATTACAGAGTGTGTATACAGTATATATTATATTAAAATTTGATTTATCGATGCCATGTCCCTGAAATAAGCCCTTTAGACTTAATGCTTGTGAGATTACTGTGTTTTTTTGTTAGTTTTTTTTACCCATTTTATATCCATGTAAAGTGACAATGTGTTTTCTTTTCACCTACACAATCATGTTACTGAGTTTAAAACATTTGAATGTATCGATGCATATGGACTTGTAATTGAATTTGGACAGGTCTTTGTTTTGAAAGAGGAATTCTACTTTTTTGCTCGGGAAAATCATTTGTGAAATGAAATGAAGTACTGATTAAATAAAAGATAGGATTTAGCAACACCTCCTGTTTATTTTAGGACACGTTTCTCTAGTTTTATTGTTGTCCTCAAATTTATTCTTTCTGGCATTATTGTATCACTTTGAGAAGCCACCTTTAAAGGCACTATATATAAAATAAAGTTTATTATTATTATCTAGTCTTTACATGAATGTCTTTACATTTTATGAATGGAAATGAAACTTTGACATTTATAATGTTGTTTCAGAACTCATCTACAAAGAAAATGTAACAAATAATGTTAAAAAATTAATACCAGTTCCATCACCCACTTGTAAAAAGTTTTTTTTTAAAATGCTGATCAGCGGTTCTATATATGGAATACAAAATCACTCTCTAAGGTGATGTATACTGTATATATACAAAAATGGTTCCTGGGAGGACATTGACATAGAGGTTTAAGGTATACTGGGATCCAGCATACTTTATAAGTCATATAAATGCATTCATAATTTTCTGGGAAAATTCCAAAGGCATTTACAGCTGACATGTCATTTAATAATCATGTCAATTAATTAAGAGTTTAGGGAAGTGAAAAACTATTCAGTCATTGAGCATTAGAATACCAAGCATTTGCTTTACTACCTTCTTGACTGATAGACACACATATACAGTAGAGTATGTATCACAGACAGCCTCGGGGCTTATAAACAAATGTGACTAAAAAAGTAGTAAACTTTATTCCAAGATGAAAAAATTCAGATACAAATTGGTACCAGGAAAGAATGAAGGTGCAGGTCTTATTCATCAGCACAGGCAATATCCTGCTACTTTATATGCTTCTGATAGTCTCAGGTGCGACACCTTAAGCAAAGGGACAAAGCAATCATTCCAGTCTGGTAGAAAACAACAATTGAAAGTCAACATTAAAGCTAATGCTGGTTAATTGAAGGCCTAACTGTACACTTCAGAACAGAAGAGTCAGAATAAAAACTGAGCTGAATACTTAGTGAAATAAAAACAATAAGCTAACAAATTTCCCCCGAATTGTGTATTTCTCAAGAGTGGAACATTTAATCTAGTTCAGCTCTGAAAGGGAGTTCAGAAGCTTTTAAAATATAGCTTGTTGTGAGATCCCTTCAGTGAAGTTTCTTGCCAAAACGTTTGTCCTATTTCAGAGCTTTTCCATTGCCTGGCAGATTTTTGATTATTTATTTACTTCACATCAGGATGACAAGTCAACAGTGCTCAGCTAAAATAAAAATATTCCAGATAAGTAACTGTTGTCCCTGTTTCTACCAAATTACTCAATGAATCTACCACTTAGAAGTCATTGCTATCTGATTCTGACAGAAATTACACTTGAGCTGGGAACATTTTTTATAGCAGTGTTACTTAATTTATGTTACTTAATGTTACTGTTATTTAATTTAGGTAAGTGACATATTTTTCATATTTGAAGTTGGGTGATGGCTTTTCATCGTTGAATTGTACCGTATAAGGATAAAGTTCACAAGTGAGTTTTCTGTTAGGGCCAGTTCCTTACAAAGTAGTTCAGGTGGGTAGTTGCATCAGCATGAGTAGGCTGCAAAGGAAAAAGTAATAGGTTTACTCCATGCTGAAAAGAGAAGAAAGAAAACACAATGTTTTGGCTGTGGAGTCTTCGTCGAGTGTAAGTTCATTACAAAGTATGTTTTAATACTTAGATAGAGTAATTATATTTTAAAAGTTAATTAAAAACCAAAATCTAAAAATATTTTTAAGATTTACAGGTAATTTGCAGGCAATTTAAGAAAACAAAACAAAGAAGAAAGACATCTGAACAATTTTCAATGAGATTACGTATTGTTAATTAAAAAAGGAAACAACAATTACTGAAAGTAAACTATTTTACATGGTGTTAAGACAGGGAACTCGACTTCTCCGACATTGTTCCTGGTCGGAGGTTATAGACAAGCGGCCCCAAGGATTTCCGGATTGTTGACGTGTTGTAGTTGTTTATAATGGCTGATAGTAAAGTAGAAGTTCCAGCTGATACATCGAATCTTATCAATAACAGCAATAATGCAACCGCACAGCCAAATAATCCGCTTTCGAGAAAACTCAATAAAATACTGGAAACGCGACTGGACAATGACAAGGTTGGGATTGCGAGAATATTGTTTTGCACTAGATGTCTTTCCTTATTCTGTGGAGCTGTAAATAGATAGGACCCTAACAGAAATTGAAATTCTAATTCACTGTATATTTGTCATTTTTATTGGTCTTCTATTGACACAGGTAAAACGTTACGTGACAGCGTGTTCCATCATTAAATGGTTGTTGCAGGAAGTATTGTAATTGTATTTGTTTGCATTTCCTGATGCTACAGATCTGAACAATCAATACTGGATCCCAAAACTGGAGCTGGAGTGCAATGGGATGGGCTTTTCAGTGTTATTTTTAAAAACATTTCTCCTTCTTACTTGCGGTATTTATGAAAACTATGAAAGGTCCTACTTAGAAAGCAATGCGACGTATAAGTTTGCATACTAAATCTGCATACTGTGCGTGAATCAAGTACAACACAGTGAAATCGTGATCTTTCACTCTTGCTCGTATATTCTAACACATATTTTCTGATGGGGCAGGTCCACTTGTTTTGTGTCAGGCTGGGTTTCCTTCATTTGCGAGGGTGCGTTTGTGTCCTTACACAAGGTTTAGTGTGCACTGAATGCTTAATTGGCCTTTGGGCCTTATTTTACTACCACTCTCGAGCTGGCTGAAATATGAGTCCAGGCATCAATAGAATGGAACTCGTTTTCTTTAAATCACCTGGAAACACATGTGTCCCTCCATTGAATTATTAACAGAATTGATAAGATAAAGGATGTATCTTCAAATTCAATCACATTTTTGGAAATGGTGCCTAAATGTTTGCAAAGGACCTGGAGCAAAATTATATATTCATAGCCAGATTTCTCTATATATTATTTAAAAAAATGGCAATTGCAGATCTAAAAAAGACATGGTGAGAACATAGTTTTGTGTTTTTATTTTCTGTGCATGTGTGTGAAGGAGATGCTGGAAGCTTTGAAAGCCCTGTCGGCCTTCTTCACCGAAAACAGCTTGCGCACGCGCAGAAACCTGCGAGGAGACATAGAGAGGCGCAGCTTGGCCATCAATGAGGAATTTGTCCGGATTTTTAAAGATGTCAAAGAGGTGAGGGGAGTCAATGAGATGTGGCGTTTGTTGAGTTCTGTTCTGTGTCACACCCATAGCACATGCTGATCCCCTGTCACACCTGTAATATTTCAAACAACAGTGGGGCTTAATTCATCATCCTATTTCAGGTACAATTGTAGATTTTACAAAAAAATTTAAACCACATTGCAGTTCTGAGCTTTTTCTTTTTATTTCAGTTCTTCCCAGTTGAGCATTTCTCTAGGTGCTCTGTAACTCTTTGTAGTTTCTTCCTTTGAGCAGAACCCACCAAAAGACAACATTAGTATATGCATATAGCAAGAAATAATGTCCTGTATTTTAATTTGAATATGCTATCATGCTGTTCCAGTACAGGATTTAATTAAGTTTATCAGTTGATATTGCTTGTACGTGTTGTACGATTAAGAAAACAATTACAGGTGAGTTGGTCACAGTGAACTATCAGGTCCCAACCAGATTCCATTAATTTTCCTCCCTTACTCCAGTGGAGGAATGCACTACCCACATTAACAGAACTGGTCGATTCTTGACCTGTGGTCGCTTTGACCCACAGTCTTCCTTGTGTCCTTGATGCTCAGGCTGGTAGTGTGGTTTGCTTGTTGCTCCTTTTCACTGTAGGTGTACATACTGCTTGTATGCCATTTTGTGTTGACTGTCACAGTATGTATTCCAACTTGTGCTGGTCTTATTTTCATTTTGTTTAATTTTTACTGTACAGTTCATATACATAGTATATGAAAAGAAGTACATTTCAGATGTGTGTTACATGTTACCCTGCATATCAGCTGTCAAGGTCCTAAGACATATGAGTGTTATAAATGCAATATAAAAATGTTCACCTGGTTGTTAGATAAAAAACCTTTACTAGTATTGCATTCCTAGGACCAGAGCTTTAAAAAGTCATATGCATGCATATTTACTTATCCATTAATTCCTGGGATCTCTCTGGATGTCCTTATATCTTTTCCTGTTTTCACTCAGGAGTTGGAGAGTATTCATGAAGACATCCACGCCATGAGCACTTGCTGTGAGGATATGACAAACAGGCTGAAGGTATGGAGGGTGTAGCATATTATTAGAGATAACAGTTATCATACACACTGAACATCAACACACAACCTAGAGTTTAAGAACAAGGTCTCAAATGGTCTGTTTAACATTTTAGTAGTTAATAATTAAGTTTAATAATTATTAATAAGTTAATAATTAGTTATTTGATTTGAACATCTTGCCAGATGTTGCTGTGAGATTTCTTACGTGTTAGCTTCAACAATATGGGCAGGTAGTTTGTTTTAAACTCCCACCGGTCCCTCTGTGTATCTATGAGGTTACTGTCAGTAGCTCATTCACTACCTACCTTGTTCATTTTTTGAAACATCATTATCTGAAATTGCTTATAGTAATAGGGTGCTTTTGTATGACCGATGAATATATGTCATGGTGTGTGTGTGACCGTCACAGTTCCGCGCGGGCTTGTGCCCTCCGCCGCTCCACCCCGCCCGTTTCATCCCGCAACACCTGGGGCGCGAACCGGGGTCTCTGGCGTAACGCACCAGGGAGCCAGCCGCATGAGCTAAAGGAGACCTAGGCAGCTGAGGTCCCTGCTATGCGCAGGGAGGGTGATGACATCACCATGTCCAAACTAGCTCCGCTACAATGGCTTACTGTGTTATAGAGCTTGTAACACGATCATATAGTCTCAAGTCTCTGGCTCATGTTCAACTTTTGGATTCCAATGCAAACAGTTATTAGTTCGTGTTCTGTAAGATTTTTAGTTACAAACATATAAGACCCGTACTATATGATTTGTAAGGTGTTGAAGGTCATGCCACTTACTTTAAGAGTAGTTATGGGGGTGACATTAGAGGGAAGAGAAAGGACCTCTTAATAGCTCTATTTACACAACATCATCTGCGTTCAGAAAGTCTATTTAAGAACTGAGCATAGTTTTTGCCAGTCACATTGTTTCATCCTGTAAAAGCTTTATCCCACTTTACATGACGCAGTTGCTCCCATCTCGTCAAACAGACACCAGTTTTGTGTTTGCTTTTATCTGTTCCCTCTGTGACTCTTCCAGAGTGAGTGAGTAAGAGCTGCGCTGAATTTACACATTCTGAAAGACAGTTCTGCTCCCACAGTTCCATCATTAGAGCAGCCAGCTGGAAGGAGGGTCTAGGCTTTTTAGTTTTAGAGGATGCATGAAGTCACAGGGCAGTTCAGGAGGCCTCCCAGGATTCAGCTCAGCAAAAATGATTTGTTCACCTTATCTGATCTACATACAGATGTTTACAAGCACCTTATGTACTCTAAAACTTCTCTTTCAATTACCATAAAGTGCATTTGGAGAAGCACACATTTTAGGATCACTATATTTAAAATTAAACATTTGATCCAATATACCCGTTTCCATGTGTGAGACAGCCTTACTGTCAGGTTCTTCTGTGAATAAAGAAAGGTATCTATTATTAATTATTATTAATCTACACAGATTGTCTGTATGTGCAGCGCACAGAAATCACAGAAAGCTACACAGTGTTTCCTAAACATAGCCCATCACCCACCCTTGCATCTTATTTTCCAAATAAGGTTATAGATCCAGCTAGCAAGTGATCATGCATTTATATCCCTGTATTGTTTTATGTTATGGGTAAGATATCGGCTAATCCCAATTGGTTTAAAATGAAAGATTTTTCAATGCTGGAGGGGGCTTCAATATAGATTTGAAACATATTGAGTTACAGTAGATGCCGAGAATAAAGTATTCCGTAGCCCTTTTCTTTGATACAGATGGTGAAATACTTCACTGTTAAACCTTCACTGTTCATGGAAACATATTGACAAATTAACCCATATGCCTCACGTGTCAGTGCTTTGATATCTAACCATTGCTGCTTTAAATTTGCTGAACTATAGTAAATGTAGGTAACAACTGTTTCTGTAATATTGACCAGCTGTGGTTTTAAACTTATTCACCCACATCGGCTTATCTTAAGCCCCAAACGTTTGCTGTAAGGATTGGAGCACAGCGGAACCGTAACACCAAGGTGACTTTCTCTGCAGTGGCTGTCTCTGTTTACTGATGGTAATCTATTTTGTGTTTCCCAGGCAGCCAAGGAACAGACACAGGATCTGATTGTGAAAACAACTAAACTGCAAGGAGAGAAGTAAGTGATGCTGCATTTATGGTGACAAATGGCACCTGACACATGCCTGTACATGTATACCCCACACACATTTTGCTTTGTTAACCATGTTCAGCGTTATTTTTTTTAACATATGTAGCACATGAGAACAGATCCATTTTCTGTTGCTAAGTTAGGCAACCAATTATTACACGACTCAAATTCTCTGTGTTGAGTGTTCTGTAGTACAATAACATCTTTACCTATTAGAATATTTTTTGTTCCTCTGATTTTAAGACCAGGGACTGCAATTCAGACTTCTACAATTGTTTTTCCAAAACTTCAATTTCCCTTTTGAACATTGCTGTTGTAGATCAATGTTGTAGCTAACCGTGTCTTTATTTTGTAGTGTACAAAAATGAACTGGGGTTTACATTTGATTTGAGGTGTGCCTTGTACACCTCAATGTAATTCATTGACTCAATAGTAAAGATATTATAGGGTTGCTGTAATGCCACTGCATGCTGATGCAAGGTAACTCCCCTCTGCTTTTGGCTTATCGCCTACTGTGTACCTTGAGGGAGATGAGTCATCGGAATGTGTAACTTATACAGTACGTTAACTGCTCAGGTAGAAGCTCCCTTAATGAAATTTCTTGAAAATGGTTATATGCGTTTCGGAAATGTAGGCAGGGTCGTCTGATCGGTATCTGACTCTTTAAGTGAAGTTTTTATTCTAAGATAAGTATAGACACAAATGTTGCAGTGCTGTCCTTCAGTTACAAATCTGAAACTCCAAACAGGAATGAAACCTTGTTCATATTGTAGCACCTAGAGGGGTGGTGTGTTGTTATGATCTTGAATTGTTGGGTTATCAGGAAGCAGATACATGCAGGTAATAATGAGGTACAATGCAGTGCTTTTATGATACATTCCAGAACACAAACCACAACAGTGTACCTTCTGTATCATCTCTAGCTGCTTCAAGTCCCTGCCTAGACATTGGGCAGGTAGGGAATTTACCAGTACGCATCTGCCACAGCATAATCTGTTCTCTTCTGTAGATAGCATACATCAGACATTCAAAAGGCCTGTGCTTCCTGTTTATATACGATCACCCAACCAGTCACTGTTTTCATACTCCTCAGGTGACAGTAGGCCATCCCCACAGTCTACTCTGTTATGTTGCGGGGAGAAAACTTGCCTTCTTTTCCCCTGCCTGCTGCAATGACAAAGTGGATTTTAAACATGAAAACATCACAGAACACATTGAACCTCCTTATTATTAAGATGTTTTGTAAGATTAAAAAATAAACAATTTATATTGTAAATCGACGCCAAACACGTCTAACAGATTGCAAACCCAACGCATGCTTAAAAACCTACTTGTGATTATACAAAAGCACATTATGGGCTATACAAATAAAACAATTGCAAAGGGAGTTCCTTCATTTTAGTTTTCAAAATGAGACTACATATGTTTTCAGTAGTATTTGTTTATGCAAGTCGGGAGACTCTAAATTAGAGCAAATGTGTTGGTTTTGAGATAATCACTTTCCTCTGCATGCTTTTAAGAGTACAGATGTTGTCTGCAATGGGATGCAGCATCAGAAATTAAAGCATACTGCACCGCAGAAACATCACTAACATTTTGTATGCAGCAACATTTGTCGTAGGTGAATGTGTGAAATAATAAACTCAGTCATGTGTGGAAACAAATTAACCTTTGTGCCAAGAAGATTTTAGCAGAGGCAAATATAAAATACATTGAGTGTTTATTGAAAGATGTTCTCTGTTTTTTTTACCACAATCCCCTATGACTTGTTCTTCACTTGCATCCAAATCTAGTCACCAGGTAATGTGTATTACTGTAACTCTGTTTATTAATTGGGACATTCCAAAGTCTGCTACATTAATGCTAGCTCTGCCATGCTGCAGCCTGCTGTGGATGCCGGTAATGACTGAAGGACAAGGAGAAAATGCAGTGATGTCAGCCAACCTGATTCCTTTTCAAGTCGGTGTGATCTTTTTAGAGTCGGAAGGGTGAAGATGTTTTGTGTGTTGTGTTTACTTCAAACATTCATTTTGAAGGAGAGCTAAATTTGCCGAGGTTTTTTTTTTTGTGCTTTTCTGATTGCTTTCATTTTATACTTATATATATTTAGAGATATATATATATTGAATGACTGTCTGTCTCACAGTACTGGGGCCCTGGATTCAATTCCTGGTGCTCTTTCTGCAAGGACTTTATATGTCCTCACCATGTTCATGTGGATTTCCTTCCACAGTCCAAAGACATACTGAAAGATTAAATGGCAGCTGGAAAAACTGATGTGAGTGTGTGTGATTGTGTCTGTGTCTGGACTGGGGTCCTGCCCAAAGTGTCCCCCACCTTGCGCCTGTTGTTTACCAGAATAGGCTCTGGCTTTCCCCCGATAACCCTGTATTGGCTGAAGTGGCTGGAAGATGGATGGATGTCTTTGAATTTAGGGTTGCATGGTGTTTAGATGCTTGCGTGACAATGACAGGTTCTTGCAATAATTTCATTATGGTCATTGTGGTAGTTTCAGTGCTGTTAATCGGTGGCTATGTGGTTGCTAGCAGCAAGATCCCTGTCTTTTTTTTGTGAAAGCACAAAACGCTTACAGGTTTATAGCAAAGAAGTAGGGAAACAGGGTTTGCAAGTTTACCTGTTCCATCTTAGTTTCAGTGGTTAAAACATTTTGTGGATCCTTTCAAAAGCAAATCCATAGTAAGAAAAGTTAAGTGAGAAAGCTTTGAAGTTTATTTCTGTTGTCTGATTGTTGTCTGTTGCAAGTATCTTATTTAACATGGTAGTACTTATCTATCTTTTGGCTAGAAAGAATTTAAGTATGTGACGGTTTTTCTCTTTTAAATATACACAAGAGTTAGGTAAGTTAGGTGTTTCTCTGTGTAGTAAAAAGAACACAGTTGGGACAGTTGCCATGTAATTTACTTTTTTCTCATTTGCTCTTTCCTTTTATGCATTATTAAAGGTTTGAACTCTTGTTTTTATTCTCATCAGTTTTAGTTAAGATGAAAAAAGCAAAACTCATCAATTTTTTTAATTGGACTATGCAGCACTTTATCCATTTTTAAATAGAACCAGACAGGAGCCAACATGTTTGAGCTTGAAGAAAGTCCCTTCACAGAACTGCTCTTATTTGAAATACATTGTGAAATAGAAAATAAATTGCTTCAAAGGAGCAATTAAGATGCTTTCAAAGGGAAACTTCAAAGGCAAGCCCAGAATGATGAAGACATCAAAGATATATCAAGTGTTTTGTTCATTTCCAAATATAGGGTTATTTTTTACACACTCGAAGGAGAAGAATGTCATTCAATTCAATATCCACAATCCTTCCACAAGCTGTTCACATTGGACTAAACTACTAATTTTTTTTAGTAACACCATGCGAGGTTATGAAATGCAAGAATAGATCTGACAGTTTGAAGCGAGTTACAAGAGGACATAAAATTATTTATTGTTTAAAGTTCTTAGCGATATTGAAAATGTTTTGTGTCCACTCTGACTTGGATGTTTCATTTTAGGACTATCAATCAACTTTAGAACGTCTGGCAGTAATTTTGTATTTTTAATACTGTTTGTTAAAAAGTGAACAATAGAGATACAAAAATTAACCCTTTAAGACAAAGATCCAGGTACATGTATTCTGAACACGGTCATTTGGTCTTCTTAAATCATTTGCTGTCTAGAAACTTATTGGTTCAAGGATATTATCCACCTGTTTCTTGAAGGACCATGGCTGGATGACGAAATGATGACTTTCCCTTAAATATGCTGTCCTGTTTGATATAATAATATAATAGGTACATATAATATGTACCTAATCTTCAGGAATGTGGAGCATCATTAATAATGTTTGTACATCTTTTAACCTCTTCATCTTCCATACACTGAATGGATCCATGTCTCATTTAGACAGTTTTCATGTCTCTTTACTGCATGTTTTCTGGGGGGTCTGAGGGGGGAAAAAGCAAAAAGCATCCTTGTTGTCTTTCTGAATCCCCTTCGTCTTTCTCTCTGCTTTGTGAGGACATTAGGTTTGTAATTTAGAATGCATTGGCTCAACATTGCTTACTCCGGGTTGTATGTACTGTAATAACAAGTATTGCTTTTTCCCAAAACAAGTGACAGATGCTTGACTGTTGTATATGAATATTGGCGTGTAAATATGTTTATTTAAACTTTGGTGTGGTGCAGCTTATTGAATTGCACATTGCGTGTATTGATTCTTTGCCAAAAGACATCTTAAGTGAAGTTGCATGGAGTATTTGATTTTAAGGACCTTTGGTTTTAAACTATATTATTCATAGTGTTCTGCTGGGCAGTGTAGCCATCTCTGTGAGAAACAAAACCTATCATCACTGCGTGGATGCTTTCCAGGAGAGAGAAAATCAAAGACCTATAGTTGGGGTTGGAAAGCTCTCCTACCGAAATGTTAATAACACATATATCTGACAGTGCACATTGCTGGCACCAGACTGTTTTAATAATAATACTCAGCAGGGAAGTTACTGAAAACCTTCTTGTAAGAAGGTGGTGTGGTGGTGTTTTTAGTCTGGATGGAATTGTTGTAACATCACCCCAGTGATTGAGGAATACCAATTATTCCATTCAATTTGTTTCACAGTGAAACAGTCTTCCATATATTACCTATAGATCCAAACGTGCAATCATAAAGCTGCAGTATGTTTTTTTTTCAACCTCATCTAACTTGACGCTATTTCTAAGAAGGATTTTGGGTCTTTATCCTCTGATTCTAATGAGCTTTTTCCCAAAAGACTGCTCCATGGCCATATTTTTAGTTAAAGTGACCAGAACCAAGCTTCTAAAAAGGCTCCTGGATTTTACCCTCTGTACCTTTTCTTTTACTAATTTATATTGTTGTTAGGTTTTGCATATTTAAATTAGACGTCAATAGCCAATTAGAAAAAATCCTCATGTTGAAAGCTTAGACATAAGAAGTTTTGGCTTAACTCGCTTGGCTGAGACCTAAC